ATATCACAATGTGTATGATATTTGTTGTTACGAAGAACGGGGAAATTATGGAATTCAGTTTTTGGCTACAATTTTTTAATAAATGATTGAAATAAACAAATATATTAATTATTATTTAAATTAAATGATTGCGAATAAATCTTCAAATTGGTAATTTCCGTCTTCTGACTTACAATATACCTATTTATTTCCTCAGCCGTAATAAATTCGTGGTGCCTTGGGAAATTTACAAAATGAGTTCAGTATTTAAATGTTCTGAATTTATGAGATTAATTTAACCTTAGCGAAAGGTCCAGACTCCATACGTGTTTTTGAAATAAAAAATACACTGACCTTATGCCCTTGTTTCATAACAATTCTTTTATTTTAAACAAACCTTAGCCGCAATGTATATTTAATTTAAAAAAGATTCCAATTGTTTAAGGTCACACACAGAGACTTTTTTATGGTCAGAAATTATATAACATGACTTTTCTTGATAGCTATGTATATAACCCTTCTATCTATGTTAGTCACTCCTGTCCCACATATATAAAATCATGTTTTTGTATCTTACTAATATAAATGCGAATGTTTGGATGGATAGATGTTTGGATGTTTGTTTGAAAGTGGCACAGATGTAGAACATAGTCTGGAAAACACATAGGCTACTAATATTTTTTTAATACCGCGCGGACGGAGTCGCGGGCGACAGCAAGAACTTTGTAATAGCAATAAGAATTAATAAATAAACATGGCAATCAAACATCGAAGATTTCAATTTCCTTCATATAGGGATTGCTAGAGAAAAATATAAGTTCCCAACAAATAACTCCATGATACAATATTAGAGAAAATCAGTCCACCGAATTATATGGCATAATAGAATTCATGAGGGGAATAAGTTCCGGGTAAGCAACCCTCATAAATTTGTCGTTGTCGGTTTTCGACGGACGCAAGCCTTCTATTGGGACCAGATGTGAAGTGCTGTGGCACACTGGAAATGACCGCTCATACACACCGCTAAAGGCCTTGGGGAAATCTCAAAACGATTTGCGATCTCCGCCGCTTTCCGTGTATTTTCGATTTGCGATTCAGATACTATTAAAAGCATGACGTTCATTTTTTCATAAAGGCTTTTCAGTGTATAAAATTGTAAAGCTCGCTTTTCCAAGGATTTTTAAAATAAATTATTTATTCACAGAGTTTATGATGAAATAAATTAGTTATTGTGAAAATTCTATCAATAAACGAAGGTTTTTTTTGTTATATTCTAATAAAATAACTACCATTAATATACATTGATTTGTCTAGAACAACCAATTCTATGTTTTCAATCGTCTTAAATCATACTTTCATGCTTTATATCCTACTGTAATGTGAAAGTTTGGATGAATGGATGGCTATATTTTTAATCCTCTTCCTGAGGTACCTCTCCGACTAACGAAGGTTGGCGATCAGTTCTACATATTTTCTCTTATCCCTTGCGAGGCGAAATAGTTGGGCGCCACTCGCAACCCCGGTCCACACTCGAATGTTGCGCAACCAGGACTTCTTTCTGCGACCAACACTCCTTTTACCAGGAACTTTTCCCCGTAAAAGGAGTAATATTTTTAATGTATATTCAAAACGGATTAACAGATCTCGGTTTAATTTAGCAAAGATTTATAACAGAATTAAACAAAACGCTACTTATTTTATTTTTGTTCAGCGCTCATGGTATCGGTGGCAATACTCAACGCAACGAACGTAATATACTTAGGTAACAATAAAATAGAGAAAAGTGTAATACATAATGTAATAAAATTTTAATGCCACACGCAATTTATATGAGTTTAGTTTCCTTGGCTCAGGAGTATTAGTAACAGGGTCGAGTAGCTCAGATTAAATGGACGATTTTTGAATCGAATCATTAAAACTTACGAACTTTTCATACAGTTTGAATCGTATGGATTGTGTGATGGAAGGCGAACTTAGCAATCCGCGTCATATCGATTCGAGTAAGTAACTACTAACTAGTAAGTACTAAAAACTTAACAATTAAAATAAGATGCGGTATTCGATTACGATTCGAACGCTCACTTAAATTTATTTAAAGGTTTTAATAATAGAATAGATGGAACAAAAATAATTAAACCCACTCATATTACAACTGAAGGACTTGACGAGATGATTGATCAGTTGAAGGGTCGAGTGGAGTTCAAATAAGATTGTTGAGACGGATTACTAATGCTGGCTGCAAAAACCTAAAGATTGTTGTATACAATTCTGAATTCAGTATTCAACAAAATGTGCTTCAATCAAAATATGAATTACTGGCAGCTAATAGCTCTATACTAACATGTAGATACGAAAAAATCTTTTTTTCCGAGCATGAAAATCTATTTAAATAGAAAAACAAAGGAGTTACGTTACCAGTTGGAATAAATCTGAGACTGGACTATTATAGAATTCCAGTGAAGCGTGTTGTAGCTTGTATTGTAGCATCTTCTACAAAAATGTATCACTTTATCACGCCGCATTTAACGTTAGTAAGCGACGCAACTCTACGATGTTTCGCAAAACGCTTTTCAGATTTCATTCAGCTCCGCCGTGTAAAGCGACATCTGTTTACTTTCTAGATATAACTGTGGTAGGAGATATCTTTTTATTTTTATTTTTGTATATTTTATGTATATATTGGTATATATTGTTTAAATGAATGTTGTACATTAGCTGATCTATATTAAAAAGTATTATAAAAAAATCTAACAAGCTTACATATGCTACGTCGGCTTCCTACCCTTGACAAGCCACGCTATGCACGTTTTTCCTTTCCACTATGTTCACTCGTTGATAAAGAATTTCATTAACGTCGCAACGGCCTTGTGAATGTGTCCCGAGGATTCGTTTCCGAGACATTTGCAAGCCAATGGACTTTGCTGCTTACTAGAATCTGATAGAAATCACTTTTATTCATAGTATGTGGTATATTATGATTATATTTGAACGTGAAAACTTTTGTTAGAGTAAAATAGTATTAATATTTTAACTTGAAATAAGAGGTAAGAAGTCGGACCAATTAAAACAGCGGTAAAACAATTTCGTCGAAAATTTATCGTTGATAAAACTCTGAGCGCCCTAAGGTACTTGGAAAGTTGCTTGTGGCATCGTTAAGCCTCTTTAAACCGCTGATTAGTTTGTATAAAAGTCCTTTTAAGACTTTAAATTTCAAAAACTTTAAACTTGCTTTTAAAAATTCATTTCGCCTCAACTACTAATGAATTTTTTAGCGGATAGAAATCACATCACTATATTTTAGTATATATTTTTAAAGTAAAATGTCGCAACATTTTATACTTCGTAGTCGTAAAGTTGATATACCCATGTACTATGACTAGACCGACATTAATTAATCTTAATTTAAAACTAAAAAGTTTAAATAAACGGCTTCAATTTAGAAAAAAACATAAATTGCACGAAAAAGAAAATAACAATACTGACCTTTTTATTGTAATAAAACAGTACCATAAATAATAAAAAAAGTAATTAAAAAATCAAAAAAAAAAGTAATGAAGAACATCGTGTTTTTTTCACAAGTAATACTTTTATGTTTACCTAAATCTCGAATTACTTTATTCCATATAAGCAGAAGCTTTATATTTGCGTATTTTAATTCGTTTGCTTTGTTCCAGTAACTCGTTACTGTTTAGATATACCGTACCAATGAGTACAATTGCTTTGCTATTGTGTATAAACTTTATTCGTTGTCCCGACCGCAACAAGCTTTATGTCCTGGACACATGGTCTGTATCACAGCAATACAATCACGAAGTATCTGTATATTTTCTAATAAAGCTGTCGGACATTCTGTTCAGTCGAGCGCTAATTTATCATTGTTAAACTTTGCATCAAACCGAAGCAATTTCCGTTCAGATTCTTTTTTTAGATTGCTCGAATGGATTTAGATTAGAATTCGTTTAAATGTTCTATTAAGATTGAATTTTTAAGTGTTACCAGATGACGTCTTTTGCGTAATTTAAATGATTAATGAAAAGTAGTATTGCAACTCATAATATAAATATAATTGCTCAAATATGCCAATAATTATTGTTCATAGAAATAAATCGTTATACATTTAAAGAACAATAGTTATTCGCGGTATTAACATTTAATATTTATTTCAGAACATTTCAATTCAATTATCGTAACTGAAGTCCCTAACTACATAATTACCGATGTCATTCAAATGTATTAACCGCAATATTATCAACTCCATTTACTTTGATATATAAACACGGTTTAACACTCACGTATATTCGTCCGGTGGCGGCACCGACTAGTTTAGAGCCCATCGGAGACCCTTCATCAGGATGAGTGGTACTGGTATTATTTCGCGGACGCGGCCCATCGCTCACTGCGCGCCTACGCTCTTAGGACGCGTCTTGAGGGGGCGGGGGGCGCGGGTTGCGCCGGCGTCGTCGACGATGTTGATACCAAAGCGTCGATGGTGTTGTTGTTCAAGTTTCTAGTCGGTGCCGCCACCGGACGAATATATGTGAGTGTTTAGCCGTGTTTATATATCAGTTTAGTATAATGTCTCACGAAAGTTTGAATAATTTAATAGCAATCCATTTACTTTCTTTAACGTTTCCCATTGGGCCGTTCGGCAACCAATAATTCATCAAGTTATTACTACTCCATCGTACAAGTCAATACGAAAACCTCTTAAATGATATTCCAAAATAAATACGTCACTATTCAACACCATGCACATACAATCACTTTCTCAGATAGAAGACGATTAATTGTAGTTTTTTTGTGATTGAGCGGTGTGCCTTGAAGAGGCATTTACAGCTTCACCGGGTGGTGGCCGGGCGCAGATGGCGCTTAGCCTGAACCTCGTTTAAGAGTAACAAATCTCGAGGGCTCCCCAGGAGCATTGGCTGTGGCTATTACTTAGTTAATGTTACCGGATTGGGCGACAAATGAAGATGATAAAATGTAAAGGAGTAAAAATTTTTATTATTTTTTTGTTTCAGTGACGAAGTTCATCCGCATTGGCATCGCTGACAAGAATGATAACCCTCCATACTTCGACAAGGAGCTGTACGAAGCAGAAGTGGACGAGAATGAAGACATTCAACACACTGTACTCACCGTCACCGCCAAAGATCACGATGAATGTAAGTAGTAGTTTTTTATATTCACGGTTCACAGGATGTTAATTTATTTCACAGGTTTTATAAATAAATGTGTAAAGCCATGTACACTCGTTTTTAAAATGTGAATCTTAAACTTATTCGATTCGCATATTTACTATAGATAGGCTACAGTCAGCCGCGTTTCTTTATTATTTTTAGATTACTGATTGTAACATCCTGTATATGACCATCGATTTAATTGAAAGTTTAGGATAGATTTTCTGTATGATAATTTAAAAATCAATAATATCGAAATCATTGTGTCAACATCTGCGTCGAATTTATCTAGCTGATTAGTTATGGGTTAAATTTCACGTACTACGTTTGTGTAACATTTGAATTAACTCCGTTTTATTCGAAGTAGGGCAACCCAGATCCAATGTTTATCATTCGAAGTGAAACTGTAGATTTGATGTTTAAATAAGATAAATGTTAGCTTTACCTACTGGCAAAACTTATATCGATCGCACTTCACAAATCATATCCAATATCGCTTCTAAAGTGTACTGAAACTTGCAGACTCGTTTACCGAAGTGTCATAAAGCTCTACTAAACTGGAGTAAACAGTCGATAAATTGTAAAACTATCGCCTCGAGGATTCGGATATCTTCCACTTCTAGAGAATGAGATATTGATAAAAAGTTGCCGACATAAAATACGGTGTGAAATGCTTGAAAAACGAAAGATGAAAATAGGATTGTATTTTCAACTTTTTATTATATTATAATTAACATATACTACATATAACCAAGTACTTGTATTATCTTATATATAAAATTCTCGTGTCACAATTTTCGTTCCAATACTCTTCCGAAACGGCTTGACCGATTCTCATGAAATTTTGTGAGCATATTGAGTAGATCTGAGAATCAGCCAACATCTATTTTGAATCCCGCGCGGACGGAGTCGCGGGCGACAGCTAGTTACATATATATTTTAATAATAAATCTTTGTATCCTTTAATTATTTCAAGTTTTGAGTAGGCTCGTTAATTACTATAAAATATTTATTCGGAAACAATACTTTTATAGCGTTTCGTTTTAATTGAAGGCATAAACTTTACGACTTACATTTAATGAAATTGACGATGAGCTGAATGATTGCATCACGTCGTAAACTGAAGCTATAAAACCAAGTTTCAATATAGTGAACAAGTCCGATTTAATCAGTGCTATGACAGACAGGAATTAGTGCCCTCGAAAATCCGTCCGTTGATCAAAAACTAAAGCTCGTTATCCAGTGCTAGCGATAACCATTTTCTTCGTCTAACGATACCGGTATCCATTTTCTTACTATAAAAAATATAGAACGGTAATTTATTATTATCCTGCATTTTACTAATATTATAAATGCGAACGTTTGGATGGATAGATGGATATTTGTTTGAAGGTATCTCCAGAATGGCTGAACGGATCTCGATGAAATTTGGCATACATATAGAACATAGTCTGGAGGAACTCATAGGCTTTACTAATTATGTTTTTTTTCACAACTTTAACTATAATAATATTAAGTAATTTAAATAAAATCTAATTATTTCTTTAGTTATGCTGTGAGGACATTTTTTAATTCTTTTAAATATTCAAATTTCCAACCGGCCTACCTCATAATAAAAAGCCAAAGTAATTAATATTCCTGTCAACTACCTTTTCATATTCTTATTTAACTAGTTTCATAAAACATTACTCGAATATTAATTTGTGTGTATTTAATGTTTAACCTCAAAATACATGTTGACAAGTTCAACCTCGCCGTAATGAATAACTATGAAATTCGTTTTATATTTATTAGGTCATGTTTACATGAGATTTTAACGCCCATTTCACTTGCTTACAAATTATTTTCATTGGATTTTTTTAATTATCCACAATTTTTTTTTAATCTGTCGGAATATTTATGTTTGCAATCGGTATATTTTTTCATGAGTATACTTTTGTAAAGGAATTCATTGTTTCCTCATTTCCTTTCCATTTCGATATGGATTTGATTAAGAATGTTTCTCAATAACAACCATTTCGCCGATACAAACACTTGTAACGGTATAATGGTTCTCCTTTTAAAGCAGGATATTAAATGTTCTAACAAATACATATTTCTTTTAAGTATTTTTAAGAGGAACGAAATTTAACATTTCAATACTTTGTTTTTATTGTATTTTTTTCACCAAAATTATGTGAACAAAGTATCCAGAGTTTACTGTTTACTTGTTACTTGAAATTATAATTCTTAGCCAAGCCAAATGTTCTATTTGCTACTTACCCACGAGTTAGTCAGGGCAGATTTTAAAAAAGTTATATGCCATGCATCAGCTCTACCTTCCCGTTTAAGGCTAGCCAAAATCGTTCAGCTATTTTGGAGAATACCCAGGACAAATGACTTTCGGTAAAGGCACACAGACCGAAAATCAAAATTTCTAAAATTGTTTTTCGTTTTCAGCAACGTAAATACATCAAGTATAGGAAATATTTTTTCTTTAAAATGTTTTCAATCTTACAATTAATCCAATTTCATTAATATTATATGAATAGATAAATAATTTTGTTAGCGTTTCGAAAATCTCCACATGAGCGACAAGCTCTTATTACTTATTACCATGATTTTATCTATAAGTTTGATTGTTTACTTAATAAATTATTTTAATGAACTATCAAAAGAAGTATAAGGTAGGTAGTAACTCATCATTATACTTTGGTAATTCCTTGTAGGCACGTCTGATATACTTAGATAGGTTACAGTTACACATGTTCTATTTCACCAAAGTGTCACGCTAACTGAGAGCCAGTTTGGCACATGTATCCAGTACGAAACTTTCTCACGGGAAACAGCTCCGCGTATTACATAACGTATACTACGTACACAGCGGTACGTCGTATCGTGCTCGGCGTTTGATCGATGAGTCCGCACAGTTGCCACGATACATTATATCTTGAAATTTCTCCCTAACACAACGCCCCTCGAACCCCACTTTTATTAAACTTCAACCTCTATGTCATCATGAAGGCCTCCAAGACACAATTTTCTTTAACAGTAATTGTTTTGAACTAAAATTATTTAACAACTTCTACTGTTTGATGATAACAAAAGATAATCGATTTATATCGGCACTTTACGTACAGATTTGTGTTTATTTTGTCATACTACAATGAAAAAATAACTGCGCAGGTTGAATTTATTTTACGTTACAACAAAAAGGAAACAAACGAATCGATTTGTTCACATGTTGTTAATCGGTTCGAATGCGAATAGCAATCGGAAACAATTGCTCACTCGCAATGTAATTCGAATGATCACAGCGCGTGTTCACAAAAGTGTTTGCGGTTCTTCTGAAAAAATAATAACATTTCTCGTCTTTTAACACCCTTGGATTTGTACCAAGATATACAAAAACTCAGTACGTTAAATCGCTTAGCTTTAATGTAAACTCAAAAGTAAATTTTTTAACTATTAATGATTCTCAAAAAATACAATTTTAGAGTTGGAAATTTTCAACGGATAAATTCTGCAGGTTCTCACTAAGTGAAAAGAGCAAAATACCTGTGGCTGTGTCTTCTCAAAGTACGAAAGTCATAATTTATGATAAAGCAATCAAGTGCTCGCTTCAAAGGAGCTAAATTTTATTCATCTGTACAAGTTGGAGTTTCTAGAAGCGTTCAAGGACTCTCCTGCGACGGCGCCCGCCAAATGATTTCCTCCGAGTTCTATTATTTTCGGCTACTTTGACCGGTATCTTCAAATATTTCTTTATCGTTGTTAGCACACTTGTCACATCTCATTCAAAGTTTCCTTCGAGTTGTATTAACATTTCTTATTATAACGGAAGTGTTTTCGACATTTCCAAACGACCCCGTTTAAGATGACAAAATAAATGTCATTGTTTATGTAAGACATATACAACTCCTACAGAATCCTTAACATTACTAAGTAGAACGTAATATTACTGATTTGTATATAAAAAAAAACAATGTGCTTTTAGTTTCAATACAACAAAATCACATAAAAGGTGATATTTTTTGTCTTAAAACGAAAACATTCAAGATTTTTATTATTAAGAATCTACGGAAGTCGGCCTTTTCTTCAGTCGGTTCCCTTGTGGGACAGACGACGAGACTTCGTAAAAAATATTAGAAACGATTTTCAAGACTGTCAGCCACTCGGTTACAATTCCAGTAGAGTTAAGATATATAAATATAATCTAGAGTGTGCAATATTTATACGTCTAACACTGAACACTCATAGATATATGCATTAGAATAATAGTTAGCACTTGTATTAACCCCCTAACAATGGGTTTCTGTGACCAAAACCTCCGTTTAAAACATGTTGTTATCTCTATTTTATAAAAGCTAATGACAGAGATGTAATTAAGTTTGTTACAGATATTATATTTTGACATCATAAACCAACAATAAATTAATAATCATAAAAGATAATATGAAATAGACATGGTTTATGAAATGATTCAAATCTACAAAAGTATAGTAAATTTTCACTAAGATTATTTTAAGAATTTATTTTGTTGTAACTTTCAGACAGGCCTAAAATTTAGTCCTTCCCACCCTTTTTCTCATAAGGAAAGGATGGGAAGTGGAAGTGGACTTCCCGGATGAGAGGATGCATGGAAGGGCAAAATATTATCTTTATGTGCATCCTCTCCTCCGTCGATTAAAGGTAGGCAACGCATATGCAATTGCGTATGTCCATGGGTAACGGTCACTTCGCTATTTCAGCGATTTCAGGTGGCCGCTCGCTCGTTTGCCACCTTATGATATAAAAAAAGTACTGAGTCGACAGTAACATTGAATAATGACAAATAAAAGTAACGAGCATGTATATTTAATTAAAGAAAGTTTCAAAAATATTTTATTAAATCTTACGTTGAGTACAAATGATGTTTGAGCTCGCACCCTAGCATTGAAATATTAAATTCAGCACCCACAATGAAATTAAATTTTCTCATTATTATTAGTTCCGTATATAAATAC